CTAACACTGCAAGGTAGGTTTCATCCTGCAGCCTTTATAGATGCAGCTGTGCAAAGCCTCCACGTCTGCTCATCACATCTCTCCTCCCCTGGCCCTCAGTGGGACCAGGAAGTGCCCTAATACCGCTTGGGAGCACCCTTCCAGCGAGGGTAGCTGCTGTGGATGTCTTCACATGCAGAATGTCTGTCCTTGAGCCACAGATCCCTGAAGCCACTGCCACCAGGGTTCTCCAAAGGCAGGCAGGGCACACACCCAGAGGGCATGTGCATGTGTATATACATATGTACATGTATGCACATGTGTGCATGTCCCTGTGGTCATGTGTGTACGTGTATGCACTTGCTTGGTTCTTGGTCCTAGTAGTCAAGCCTACTGATGGCGCACTGGTCTACCCTTCCTACAGGAATCCAGTCCCTGCACACACAGATGAGAAAGAAAGCCCTCCAGAGTCAGTACAGAAGTCTACCAGGAAGCAAAGGCTTCCTGGATTCACTTAGAAGGGCACAGTTATAAAAGGCACTGGCTGACATTCTGCTCTACACTTGGCTTCGGGCCAGAGATGAGCCAGAACTCCGATGAGGCCTCAGCACCGAGGCTCAGCTTTTCGCAGTTCCTTTTCTGTACCTCCACCTTGAAGAGGATTCTTGAAGCACAAACCATAGCGACTCAAGCTGGAAGGGTCAGGGTTCACACCTTCAAGGTCAGATGGCGGAAAGGATACAGAGACTTGTGACTTACCCAACGACGTGCAGCCAGTTCATGACAGAGCTCTGACTAGACTCCAAGACCCCCAAAGGCTGAGTCTCCAGAGGATGAGGAACATATCGATTCTTTGCTCAGGACTGAAATAAACAGAAAACCAAATCATAACTGCAAACCAGACACCGTGATCTGCCAGACTCTGGTAAGATTATCTTCACAACAATAAGATAATATTAATTAGTCTGGGTACATTGCCAGCACTACACACATGTGACTGGTGTGTGACAGGGATGCCAAGCCCCATCTAACATGTGGGAAGTCAAGGCTGGAAGAACATAAATAATATGCCCGAGATTGCATGGATACAGTGAGAAGAACGACAAGATGGTCCCCAGCCCTCCTGTTCCCCAAATCTAGGCCTTGATTCACTGTGATACTGGCTTTCTTCAGGAAGGACACAGAGCTGGGTGTCCTCATTTATTTTGGGTCACCATATGCTCAATCCCCAAACTAAACTATCTTCTCAAGGAAATTTAAGACAAAAAGGAAAAAGTTGTCAGAAAGAAATTGATGTATGAACAAGTTGGCTGAGATTACTCGTGGGTGGGGGAAAACGTGTGTGTGTGTGTGTGTGTGTGTGTGTGTGTGTGTGTGTGTGTGTGTGTGTGTGTGTGTGTGTGTGTGTATGTGTTTGCTATGTGTTAAACAGCTCAGCTCTGTGTCTTTTCCCAAATTCTACTTGGCCAGGCCAACAGAATGGAGTTTGCTTTTTCCTAAGTGTTAGAAACTAAAAGATTTATTGTAGCTGGTCAGACACTGTCCATATATACCCAGGCTCATCCAAACACTTGACAGGCCTGGTTCTGGAAGGCCTAGCTAATTAGAAGATGGAGGGGAAATCCAAGGAGCCTTCCAGGGGCCAGTGCTGAGTAAATTCACTCTGCTCTTTGCCCTCAGAACATCCTCGGCTTGCTCAGCAGCTGGAAGAACTGGGATGCAGGCATTCAAAGCCCCGAGGAAGCGGTATTTCCGTTGTTCAAGCTTCCAAAGTTCTGGCCTTAGCCCACACTCAACTTTCACTCTATTATACACAGTGATTATTTGACTTTCCAGTGTATCACATTATCGGCATTGTTGGGTTTGATTAAAGTGAAGGGCATTGGGGTCACATTGCTGTCCACACACAAGCTGCAAGTGGTAACCCTCATACTCTCCAGGGGGCTCCCCTCTTCCCTGTTCTCCATCCCGCTTCTGTTCAGTTCTGCTCAGTTCAGGAACTGAACAGAACCCACCCACTAGACGCCACATCCTGAACTGGATTTTGGGGAGCGGGAGGGGCGAGAGATCAGGCTTTCTGCGTTCAGAGATTCCACGCTGAGGGGAGAGACACAGGTAGACCAGCAGACTGCTGTGAAGTCTGAAGCACATCTGTTCCAAGGTGCAGAGGGCGTGAGGACAGTGCAGACAGGTGAGGAAAAGCAGGAAAGAATTTCAGAAAAGCTGGTGCGCAGACTGTGTGTTGAAGGATGGATGGATGGATGGATGGATGGATGGATGGATGGATGGATGGATGGATGGATGGGAGCGGTGAGAAGGACTAAAACCAGCCTGAGAGGCTGCTGCGAAAGTCTCGAGCAGTGTGGGAAGAGGAAGTTAGACGTCGCTGCTGCTCATGGCGAGAGCAGTAATGGGCAGCAGTGAGGGGAGAGGTGACACCTCCCCCAACCCTCCTGGTGTTCTGAAGCTCGTCACAGTGGACCTGACTGCCTCCTGCCCCGTCACCGTCATTATCACCCTCACCGCCAGGACTTCTTCCTTCGTGTCCTCCTCTTCCTCCGCCTCCTTTTCTTCCTACCCTCTTTCCCTCCATATTGCCTTTTCCCCCTCCTCCTCTTCTTCCTTCCGTCTGTCTCCCTCCAACTTGTCTTCTCTTCCTCCTCCTCCTCCTCCTCCTCTTCCCTCCCTCCCTTCCTCCGTATCTCTTCCCCCTCTTCCTCCTCCATGTCCTCCTCCTCATCTTCTCTTCCCCCTCCTTCCCTCTTGCTTTCTTCCTCTTCCTTCTTTCTCCGCCCTCCCGTCTTCTCCCCTCTTCAACTCTCCTCTATCCCTCTTCCTCCTCCTCCTCCTCCTCCTCCTCCTCCTCCTCCTCCTCCTTCTTCTTCTTCTTTCTCCTCATCCCATTCTTCATTGTTCTCTTTCTCCCTGGACCAATGTGCCTTGCCTCCTGCTTCGAACTCACTTCCCTCTGGTGAGAGGAGACAGAAAAGGAAGCCTGGGGTCTGAGAGAGCCTAGCTGAAGAGCAGCTGTCAGGTGTCCGGAAGGGGCAGGTGACAGGGAGAAACAGTTATTCCAAGTCAGAGCATGCACCCACACAGGGAGAGAGAGAGAGAGAGAGAGAGAGAGAGAGAGAGAGAGAGAGAGAGAGAGAATCATAGAGACAGAAGGCTCAATTTCAGTCAGGACTTTCACAAGTCTAGAAAACTCCAGAATGCCTGACAAATTGAAAAAAGAAAAATAAAGCCTTTGCTCTGGATTCCTTTGCCTTGGGCCTGGAAGGGAAACTACAGCCCTGACAGCAATTCTGCCAGGTAGGAGGTGGTGGATGAACACCTACTGAATAGCACCCAGGGTTCCGTCCATTCTCTGCCTCTCCTATGACCATCTGCCCCCTGGACTGTGAGCAGGAGCTGTCTTCAGTGATCCTACACAGGTCACAGCAACCTGTTTACAGACAGCTAGAGTTCCAAGGCGCTCTTAGGACAAGGGACTCGGGATGCGTCCAAATGGACAGCAAAGCCTTGGTCAGAGAATTCGTTCCTCCCTTTCTATTTATGCCAGTGTAAACACTCGCCAAGGAAACAAGGCATGTGGGCATGCGCAGCCCTGAGGGCCCTGGGGTGGCTGCAAAAGGCAACTGGAAAGTCACATGTCATAACATTGGAAAGTACATATGCAGCTATTCTTAGGCTTGGAATGTATACACTGTCTGCCTGCCCGGCAGCCTCGCACAGCGCTCTAGAGCCGTGAAAGTGCCTGCAGCATAAACAAATCCAGAACTCTCCTAGGACAGAGAATTTGCCAGTAGAAGGAAAGGCCTGCAGTTTATGGTTTTATTCAGAGCCTAAGGTAGAAACCTCCTGAAGGGACGAGACAGACCCAGCATCTGTGGATGTCACTGCAGCCAAACAAGGTAAGTGTCCCTAACACTTCACTCCTCAGCAGGCAGACTGCCTGTGTCACCAGACCCACAGGAGTGTTTGGTCCTTGTTCCCTATTAATTACATCTTTAAAACAAAGCCCAAAGACCATGCAGCCTTCTCTCTAGATCTTGCAACAGCCCACTGTGGTCCCTCACTTCTGTCCAGTGACCAGAAGACCACACCCCCAGAACGTCAGCCTTGGGGAAGAACTCACCCCCAAAAAGGGATTCATAGATGAATTTACTGACAAATCTGCTGAGGATCTGGACAAAGGCGAATATTTCCTGCCAAATGCATGGACTGTTTTCTTGTGTTGGGCTAATCTGTGAGTCCCTGGCCATCAACTTTAGGTGAAAGATGCCTAAGATTCGCTGGAGATGCTATGAGTCTCTTATCTCTGAGGATAATCACAGCCTGAAGTAGATCACTTTGTGGTCTGGGGTGAGGATGGTTCCCTCTTCCGCCTTTAGGGTGCTCTGTTTGTGAGCCCACAGACTTGGAAAATAGATAGTGGTGAATGAGCCTTGGAGCCCCAACAGCTAAGCCCTCTGGTAGACACTGTCAGAAAACCTTGACCTTGCTTCCATTTGGGGCTTCCCTCCTTCTTTGTAGGATGGATGAGGAGTTACCAGATGGGGTTGTCTTCAAAGACCACGACTTCTCCTCTGACTTGTTGAGACAGCTCAACGGCTTAAGGCAAAGCAAGATCCTGACTGATGTGAGCATCTGCTCTGGAGCCTGGGAGGTCCCTTGCCACCGCAATGTGCTGGCCTCCAGCAGCCCCTACTTCAAGGCCATGTTCTGCAGCCACTTCCGGGAGAGCAGAGAGGCCAAAGTACAGTTGAAAGGCATCAATGCCACCACCCTAGAGCAGGTCATCACGTACGCGTACACGGGAGAGGTACACATCTCAGCAGCCAATGTCCTCCCACTGATGGAGGCGGCTGCCATGCTGCAGTACCCCAGGGTGTTTGAGGCCTGCTCATCATACCTGCAGAGTCAGCTGGCCCCCAACAACTGCCTGGGTCTGGTCAGACTCGCAGAAATCCTAAGCTGTGAAAGCCTGAAGAAGAAAGCCAGGGAGGTAGCCCTGACTCGCTTCCCAGAGGTGGCGGCATCGGCTGACCTGAAGGAGCTCTGTGCTGTGGAGTTGAGAGGCTACCTAGGAGATGACAGGCTCTGTGGAGAGGAGGAAACGGTGTTCGAGGCCCTCATGGCTTGGGTCAAGCATGACCTCAAGGCCCGGTGGCAGTACCTGCAGGAGCTGCTGCAGCAGGTCCGCCTGGAGTACATCCACCCAGCCTTCTTCCACCACTTCATTGCCAACGACGCCCTCCTCCAGTCCTCGCCCGCGTGCCAGGCCATCCTGGAGGTGGCCGGGAGGCAGATCTTCTCCTCATACGGTCCCAGTGCCCAGGACTGCAAACTCCTGTGGCATATCCCCCCAAGGAGCTCCTACCAAGACTTCCTCCTCCTCCTGGGGGGGCGGAAGGACAACCAGCAGACCACCAGGGATGTCTTGCTCTACAGCCTACAGACTGGCCGGTGGCAGAGCCTGGCCAAACTCCCCACGCGGCTGTACAAGGCCTCCGCTGTCACCTTGCACCGCAGTGTGTACGTGCTCGGGGGCATGACTGTCAGTGAGGGCAAGAGTCTCCTCAGCCGCAGAGTCTATATCTTCTCTCTGAAACTCAACCAGTGGAGGCTGGGGGAGCCCATGCTGGTAGCCCGCTACTCCCACAGGAGCACCAGCCACAGGAACTTCATCTTCTCCATTGGGGGCACTGGAGAAGGGCAGGAGCTCCTGGGGTCCATGGAGAGGTATGACAGTGTCCGTGACGTCTGGGAGAGCATGGCTGACATGCCGGTGGCCGTGCTCCACCCTGCTGTTGCAGTGAAGGACCAAAGGCTCTATCTTTTTGGGGGTGAGGACATCATGCAGAACCCTGTGCGCCTTATCCAGGTAATGGACTGGTCCTTCTCACCGTGTTAGTACCAAATATGTTTGCGCACGCGCGCGCGCACACACACACACACACACACAAATATACATGCCTGATATAATGGCATATATACATGCATATTCATATGTATGTCTCTAGTCATGTGAACGTGCATTTACATGCACATATGTAACAGCATAAGCATGCACACATATACATATATGCATACACATAATCATATACAGATATGTTCATACAGGCACATGCACATATATGATTGGGTATACATATATGCACACATACATGTGCATGTATTCAGTCCCGTGTACATTCATCCACATGAACATGTATAACAAACAGTATAAATATGCATACATACACACATATGCATACACATAATTATATGGCACATTATATATGCACATATATCATGACATATGCATATGCAGACATACACATATACACACATATAATGACAAATATATGTGCACACATACATATGCATGTATACATTCATACGTACACACATGTACATGCATATTATGTATATGTTTATACATTTGCATGTGTATGTGTATACTTGTGTGTACATGCATTCATGTGCACATATACAATAGCACATATGTATGCACAGATGTCATAAATATGTATGTGCATATAGGCATTCTTGTGTATTCATATACATACCTGTATGCATCTGTGTGTATATCCATACACTCTTATTTATCATGGCATATACATATCTATGCACACATGCATATATATACCTTTGTACATATGCATGCATGTAGACATATATGCATGCACATGACATATATAATAGTATATGTATATGAGAACAAATATATTGATGCTTGCATGTGTGTATGTGTACATGTACATGCCCGTGTATGTGTACATGTACATGCCCACACAGGCACACACACATACACATGGGCATGTACATAGCATGCATACACACATGTACATATTTGCCTTGTGCAGGGAATGAAGAGAGGAAGGAACTTTTCAGTGTTTTTTTACTTATGAATTTTTATTGTGAGACTAACGCAAAGTCACGTCAAGGACACTCCCCATCACAAAGACCTTGTCTTCGCTTGAAGGAAAAATAACCCAGAACTTCAGGCTGAAACATATTGAAACTCAGACAGCAGTCCTGGAGCGGCGCCATTAACCCCCAATCCAGGCCAACTCCCCGCCTCTGCCAACAAATCCCCTGGAGCCTGACCTCGGATCTCTGCATGGGATCCCGGCATCTGTGCTTCCCGAAAACCTCAGGAGACTCTAAAGCGTGGCTGGGTCTGGGAGCCTGGGCCTTAACCGACAGGAGAAATTCATCTCACTCACACAGTCCCTGAGAAGTTTGACAGAGGCTGACTTCAGAATCCCCGATGCTGCCCACTTCGCGCGAGAGTCTAACAACTGCTCCGTAAGCGGCAAGCTTCTCTTGCTGTGCAGAAGACTCCACGGTGCGGATTCTGTCCGTCCACATGCTTATGCTGAACACGGTAAAGGCTCTGGAGACCTGGGAGGAAACAGAAAATTACATTTAACCTTCAAGCCGTTTCCAAGACAGTTGCAGTGCAGAATCTGAAGATATGGGTGCTCAGCGCTTGGGAGGTGTCCTAAAGGGGACCAGAGGGAATCGCAAAGAACATGGGGGTCCAGAGGACTCTGGAGAAAACTCTATGTTTGGCTGAAGCTAATTTGAGCACAGAGAAGAGCTGACGGATAAGAAAAGGGTGAAAGAGGAGGGAGGCGTCAGAGTGGATGGTGAGAAGCTAGAACCAGGAAGTAGCAGAGGGCCTGACTGGGCGCGAAAGAGCTGGCAGCTGAAGAAGTCAGTTATCTGCAGAGCGAGAGACGGATCCTGGGTACGGGTCCTTTGCAGAAAGACCCAGAAGAAAAGGAGGAGGCACAGCGCGCTGCCTGAGGAACCGAGAGCGTGGCATACAGTTGCCAGGCAGAGCAAGGAGGAGGAAGGATGCACGTCAGATGGTAGCTGGGGAGGGAACAGGTGGGCGCCCCGTGTAAGCTTCATCATTCCCTCCCCACGCAACCCCAGCAACCTCCTCCACCCAGACGCTGCCTCCAAGCTCCTCCTATCAAAATTCTGGACCGTTCCAGAATGGCTTGTGGAGATGAAGCCGTAACAGCTGGACTTTGTAAATCTTGTCAAGAGATTGGGATGGTAACCTGAGAGGAAGGGGCAGAGAGAGCATCAAAGCTTTTCATGCATGGCGGAGAAGCAATCAGATTTGCATTTTTAGCTCCCTCTAGACCCATGGTTCTCAACCTGTGGGTTGTAACCCCTTTGGGGGAATTGAACAATCTTCAACCTGTGAGTTGTGACCCCTTTGGGGGAATTGAATAACCCTTTCACAGGGGGTACATATCAGATATCCTGCATATCAGATACTTACATTACAGTTCATAACAGTAGCAAAATTACAGTTATGTAGTAGCAGCAATGAAATAATATTATGGCTGGGGGTCACCACAACTTGAGGTGTTAAAGGTTCGCAGCAATAGGAAGGCTGAGAGCCACTAATCTAGATGCTTTAGAGAAGGGACCGGAGGAGAGATGGGAGATTTTCCCAGAAGCCCAGGCAAAGGGTGCTGGTGGCTTAGACACTTGGAGTGGCACTGGAGGTTACCTTCACGCCTTCTTTCTGCAGCCCATACTCCCCGTGACCATCAAGAAGAGCCTCACTCCTCCCAGAAGTACCAATCTCAGTCCCACCCATTGACTTGAGCTGGGAGAAACTCGACTCTGATCCCCAGAAGAGATCCGCCAGAGCGCTTCTGTGGAAAGCTAGACCTCATCCCACCTCTCTTGACTGTTTTCCCAGATAGCATCAACAAATAGGCTGGTGACTTCACACAGCAAAACGGTCACCAATTTCCTAAGAATAAAATGCAAAGCACAAATACACTTCCAGCTAACAGATCAAGAAATCCATAGTGCAACCAAACCAAGGTCCTCACAAAGCCAAACAAATACAGACTTGTGAGCAATCCTTTTGGGGTATAGCTAAGGAAAGCCGGGAGTGGATGAACACGTTCATTTGCATGCTTTGCCTACTGGTCTAGCATTAGCTTTGAAGTGGACGTTCTACTCACTTAAATACGGTTTAATATGAATGCTGAGAGCCACTTATGGAGCAGGTTGGGTTTTCAGGCAGAGTCAGTGGAGTCAGTGTTCTTTCCAGATCTGTCTTTCAGTGGTGTCACCAGACAAGGTGGACGTGTATAGTCCCTTTCTACCTGGCCTTTGTTCCACCTCTGCTACTGGATGATGTAAAACAAATCCCATACCATGAGGGAGTATCACTTCCTACCTGGGTCAAACACATCCTTTGTTACCTGGCCACAGTCTCTCTGAGGTACTGTGAGGATTGAGAGGAAATGATAACTCTGTCTTTGAAACCAAACCCCAAGCTGAGAGAACAGAAAGGTCAGGAGGCAGCCAGCATTTGCCTTCCTACCGAGGATGCTGCTTCTCAAGGAGTGTGTCACCGATGTATTTTCAGGTGAAGCCGTGGGGCTTCCCAGCCATTGCGACCATACTCAGGCTCCTCCAGGCTTCAACAGGAAGAAGGAATGATAGAGATTCCAGCAGCGGGGGTGTCTCGGTCTCAAAAGCATCCATCAGGGTATCCTAAGACAACTCAACAGGTAAAGAGACTTGCCATGAAAGCCTCACTGAATTTGACTCCCAGAACCCAGGAAAAGTGGAAGGAGAGAATAGACTCCACCAAGTAGATCTCTGGCCTCCACACGTGCCACGGCACAAGTGTACACACATATACACATGCATACCCACAATAATATAATAATTTTTAAACTGTCAGGAAATGCCACACTCCCTCAATAGACCCATGACACTGGTGATCAAGAGCATGGTCTCTGGGTTGAACCAGAAACTATCGTTTGCACTCAGTCTAGCTGCGCAAATCAGTTTCTGTGAGCCTCAACAGTCTAATCTGAAAAACGAGGAAGAAATAGTGGCTACCTGATAACTTCTTTGTGAATGTCAACTTCTTCATGATACTTATTGATTTCTTTTAAAGATGTATTTATTTTTATGCCTATGGGTGTTCTGCCTACATACATATCGGTGTATCACATGGATGCTGTGGCCTTGGGGGGTCAGAAGAGGGCATCTAATTCTCTGGAACTGGAGTTAAAGACATTTGTGAGCCTCCATGTGAGTTGCTGGGAATTGAACCCAGAACCTCGGGAAGTACAGCCAGTTCTCTTAACCACTGAGCCACCTCTCCAGCCCCTATTTATTATTTTAGAAACAAAGTCTCATGTAGCCCAGGCAGACCTCCCTGTGTAGTCGAGGATGACCGTGACCTTCGGATCTTCTGCCTCCACCTCTTGATGACTAGGATGACAGGCGACACCCACCACACCTGGTTTATGGGGTTCTGGGATCAACACAGGCCTCATACATGCCAGGCAAGCACTCTACCAACCGTCCTACATCCTCAGCCCCAAACTGTTATCAAACAGTAAGAATAAGGTCTTTGATAAGGCTAGAAATTATATTTTATATGGAAAAATTTCAGTGACAACTACTATGTCATTTTATCTGGAAACAAATATTTTTTTTTCTTCTTTTCCAAAGTGGAGTCCATCCTTTAGCTCCTGTGCTAAATTTTGCCTATTCCTAACCAACTTACATTTAATATTTGAATTTTAAACCAAGGAAATCCACAGAATCACAATTGGATCCGCATTTCAGAGCACGGCTAATGAGCCTCCTCTTCGGTTTGTCTTTCTCTCTTGCTTCTCTTCTTTCACAAAAACTCCAATTCCTCTCAGGCATAAACTGTTCCGAAGCCTTCCTTACACAGCCTCAAACTTATTCTTGGTTCTCTGGCCCTCTTAGCTACACAGGGACATTTAGAAACATAAACATGATCTAGAAATAAAAACTATTGGAAAAAATGATTGGTTTCCTAAATATCCAAGTTGCTCCATTTCTCACTGAAATAATAAAATATCCCAAGAAGGTAAGTGAAATGCCTACTCCAATGCAGAAGCCTTGGTCCAGTTAATGGAAATATAGTCATTAGTTTCATGGGGATCACATGAGTAATTTCCGATACATCCTTCTTTCTGTCAGCCAGAGTTCTTTTATTGATGGTAATACTTACACTTGAAAACCTGAAAAGAAATAGAAAGAAAAATTCCATTTCTGATTCACCCTGTAAATGACTGCTTGGACCAGTGAGATAGCTCAGCAGGTAAAGGCGCTTGTCACCAAGACTGTTGACCTAAGTTCAATCCCTGGAACTCACATGGCAGAAGAAGAGAACAGAAACCCAAATGTTGTCCTCTGAACTCCACACTTACACACACACACAAACACACCACATCCACCATACCACATACCACACATACACACACACACCATATCACATACCACACACACACACATACCACATGCCCCCACACACACCACATCCACCATACCACATACCACACATACACACACACACCACATCACATACCACACACACACACACCACACACACACACCACACCACATACCACACACACACACACACACACACACACACACACACACACACCACACCATATACACACATATACACACCACACCCACACCATACCACATACACACACACCACACACCATGCACACCACACACACACACACACACACACACACCACACACACACACACACACACACACACACACACACACACACACACACACACATACACACTACACACCACACCACACACAACAACTACCTTTTTTCTCTTTTAAAGAAGTTAACTTTAAAATTTGGTACCATGATTCTGTTTCTCCCTCAGGTGTACCACATTTCCAGAAACACGTGGTTCAAGATGGAGACAAGGATGATAAAGAATGTGTGTGCCCCGGCTGTGGTGCTGGGGGAGAGGATTGTCATTGTGGGAGGTGAGTGAACCGAGAATGACTGGTCAGGCACAAACTGGACAGCTCCTGGGGGAAAGGGCTGCTGACAGGCCAGTGTTACTCTACAGGCAGGTCTTCTGAAAAGCACATCCATCCTCTGAGGAGAGCGTGGAAAACCGGAAAAGCTATTTACCTGGAAGCTTCTTCCTGTCTCTCTATATAAGCAAGGGATGGAACTGTACGAGTTCTGCAGAGCTGTTGCTGTGATAAAAATGTAATATGTGGCTAAAGCGGGCGGGATTGTCCAGACATATGAAGAAGAGATGTTTCCTGCTGTTAACCCTAGCTAGGTGTGGTGGCTCACACCTAAAATTTGAGCACTTGGGAGGCTGAGACAGGAGGATTGTCACTAGTTTGAAGTCAGTCTGTGTTACATAATGAGTTGCAGACCAGACTAGTGTGAGACCCCACCTCAAAATAATAATGATAATGATACTACTAATAACAACAACAATGATAACTAATGTATCATTTCTCTGTAAATGCATAATGTATTATGGTTAAGAGGGCCAGTTTAGGGGTCAAAGAGACCTGGGTTCAAATCCCAACTCTACCATTTAGTGGTTATATACTTTCTGCAAGTTATTCCTCTTTCTACGTCTTGGTTTGCCTGTCAGTAAAATAGTGACCTTTAAAATAACTTCCCAGTAGCCTGACATGGGAATTCATTTCTGTGTTCCCAAAGAAGGTCTCCTTCCTTGAATGCTGTGGGTCACACAGGGGGAGATGAACAGGCCAACGGGGCTGCCAAAGCTACTGGAAGGCAGAGTCTGCCCCTACTCTACAAATGACTTGCATGGCTGCCTACATTTGGGCCAGAGCCAGAGAGATCCAGATGCCAGTCCCAGCTCTGCCAGGCTGCAGCAGGGTAACCTGAGCATGCATGCTTTAGTTCAGAGTCCCAGCCTCGTGTGGGCAGGGAGCAGAAGCCTTCTTCAACCACTGACCCACAGCCCCAGGTGAAGCCACCCACAGCTGTTTTATATGGTATTCAATTTTCAGGCTACACAAGGAGGATTCTTGCTTACGACCCCCGGTCCAACAAATTTGTCAAATGTGCAGACATGAAAGACCGAAGGATGCACCACGGGGCCACAGTGATGGGGAACAAGCTGTATGTGACAGGTGGGCGGAGACTGACCACAGACTGCAACATTGAGGACTCGGCCTCCTTTGACTGCTATGACCCTGAGACGGACACCTGGATATCCCAGGGACAGCTACCTCACAGACTCTTTGACCATGCCTGCCTGACACTCCAGTGCATACCCCACATGGCCAGCCTCACATGAAGGCCACAAGAACCTATCTTGGTCAAAATGCTGTGTGACGCAAGAGATTGGAACCCAGTTCCAAAGGCCTAGAGTTGAAGGAAGTCAAACTTCCACTCTCTACACAGTAGTCTTTTTTTAAAAAATGCCAGTGGGTGCTTTTTTAATTCCATCCCTATCTCCTGAACCAATGCCAGAAATTGCACTATTATAACTGGGTAGGTCTGCATCACATCCCTTCAGATGGAAGTAGGGTTAACGACTTGATTGATGGCCCAAACTGCATGGAATCAGACAGAAGATGTTTCCCAGAGGAAGAAAGAATTCCGGACATAGATGGACACACACACACACACACACACACACACACACACACACACACTTGCCCAGGTCGTCCTTAGCATCCAGAATGGGAGGGTTAGCCCAAGAGGATCCTTAGAATCACTCAGGCCAGGTGGCAGCTTGTGAAACTGTTGTGATTGTGTCTGTGTCCCTACATTTCATGGATACAGCATATTGAAAGTAGGCTCAGTTCGGTATCTACCTAGGGTTTTCAAAATTATCCTGTAACGAAAAACATATGAACAGAACCACAGTTGCTTCTGGTGCCAGACGACCTTTTAAAGCTGCGGAATTAATCTGGAGTTTCATCCCAGTAAAGTGTTATGAAAATGGCTTTTCTGGGGAAAGCCAACAGATTCCTCAGCAGCAACAGCAACTCTACCCTCCGGATATCAGGGCTGACCCTCCCTGTGACCCCTTCACTTCCAAGTGCCCCTCATACTCACTCAATGGCGGGTCCATGGGAAAGCTGAAGTGCCCATCAGAGGCTCTCAGTGAGGCCCCGATGGCATGATCACAGGGAAGATGTTTGGAAACATCACTGAGTCCCATTCAAGATGGATGCACAGGGGTTCTCTGAGGTGAGGTCCAGAATTCTGTAGCTCCGAAAGGCATCCTAAGGTGACCCTGTCACTCAGCCATCGTGGAGAACTAAAGCCCTGCTCTGCTGTGTGCACTGAAGACCACCATGGCTACTCTTTCCTACCCTGTCCTGACCAATACTAGGCGATCTCAGTGTGTAAGCAAAGTTGTCTCCCACCCACAGAGAAGCATCTGGAATAAATTTGCCATTCTGTGTTACATGCTGGAGTCTCTCTCCCTTCCCAGTGTTGCAAAGGCTTCTCCTTTCTTCCCGCGTTCACCTCAGGCTCTCTTCATGAGGTAATACTGTGGTCCAGGGACTCTGCCAGCACCATTGACCCTGCTCCTCAGCCTACACGCTGGCCCTTTCTCTAGACCCTCTCCCCTTTTGAGACAAGGTTTCATGTAACCCAGGTTGACCTCAAACACACTATGTAGCCTTGACCTTCTAACCCTCCTGCCTCCGGCTCCTGGGTGCTGAGATTACAGGTACGTGCCACCATTCCTGGGTTATGTTTCACTGGGGATCAAACCCAAAGCACTGCACATGCTAGACAAGCATTCTACCAACTACAGCCCTAGCCCTAATCCATCCATTCTCCTTGAAGTGTTTAGTCGGGCTCCTGGTCCCATCTCTTCTTGAACATGGACTTGGGAAGGTACCCAGTGACAAAACGCTGCCCATACAGTCTGATTTCGTGTCCTGCCCATGTTGACTGACCACACAAAACACCACTGCCCATCCTCCACCTTGAGCTACTTCCGTCTTCCCACTTCCATGATGCCTCTTGCTCTTGCTTCTCCCCATGGTGACTCAGTTTTGTCTCCTCATTTTCATGACTGTTAAATGGGGATATGACGGAAGTTTCAGTTCTTGGTCCCTTTCTCGTATCCCCTCTCTCCTTGGATGGTTGAATTCATAAAATACAGGTAATTGTGTATTATTCTCTTCCAACCTCTGCAGGCACCAGACATGCACATGGTGCTCATATGCATACGCGTACGTGTGCAGATAAAACATGCATACAAATAAAATGTGTGGGGTGTGTGTGTGTGTGCTATATGTGCTGTGGGGGTGTATGTAGGTGTATTTGGTGTGGTGTGTGTGTGGTATATGTGGGGTGCATGTGGGTATATTTGGTGTGTGTGTGGTTTGTGTGTGTGTGTGTGTGTGTGTGTGTGTGTGTGTGTGTGTGTGTATGTGGTGCATGCATATGTGTGTTGAAAATAGGTCATTCCCCTGTTTAGAATTTCCCCAAGCCCTCCCAGTTCACACAGGTGAGCCCCAGAGACTGGTACGATTCCTCAAACCTCACTGTGGGCTCTCCATTCTTGTTTCAGACCTCATCCACCATCATGGTTCATCTTTCACTTAGCAGCAGCCATACTGCTCTTCAGGGTTGTACATCCCAGGCATCCCAGGCAGCCCACTTCCCCATGCCCACACTTGCTGTTCCTCTTCCTTCTCCCAGACTTCAGCCTACACGGTTCACTTCCACGTCCCCAGATCTCTGTTCAGAGTGTCTTCATTTCCTGACCGCCCTTCATCCCTCTATCAATTCATCCTCCCGGTGACATCCCTAAAGCAGATCAAAATACCCCAGTCCCTGTGCCTGCCTTGTGACTTCTCTGGGGCACTCCACCCCTCCTCATCTCCCCGCCCATCTCCTAAGGGGACCGGAGCCTCCCAGTCTTCCCTATGGCCTTCCCTGAAGAATGTATACAGCTCTGTTTTCCTGGTCACGTTACTGTCCAGCTTAACACGCTTCAGAATTCCCCAGTCCTTTGTCTCTCCTGGACAGCCTTCAAGAATCCTGCAGCACCTGCTTCAGCCTTTGTCATGTCCGTCACTGGTTGCCTCTGTTTCCCAACTTCCTTCCCACCCCACCCCCACCCCAGGTCTTTGTACGCGCAGTTAGTTGCCTCTACTGATAAAGAGGCTCCTAACTTCACCTGTTGTGATTTCAACCCGTACTTTACCTAGCAGAATAAGAGGCTCTGCATCAAGGAGGCCCTCTGGGGCTGGGGTCAACTCTCTAAACGCCTCCATTGTCTCTTATACTTCCCCTTGAGACCCCCATGGTCCTTAATGCTGATGGTCAACTTGACGGGATCTAGAATCATCTGGTAGACTAACGTCTGGGCATATATGTGAAGGAGTTTCCGGATTGGATTCATTGAAATGGGAAGACTCATCCTAAATGTGGACACCAGTGGTCCATGGGCTGGGGTCCTGGATTGACTAAAAAGGAGAATGCCAACTGAGTGCCAGTCTTCACTCCTTCCTGCTTCCTGATGGCAAATACCGTGTGACCAGTACCTCATGTTCCTGATGGCAGGTACCGTGTAACCAGTACCTCATGTTCCTGATGGTGGGTACCGTGTGACCAGTACCTCATGTCCCTGATGGTGGGTACTGTGTGACCAGTACCTCATGTTCCTGATAGTGGGTACCGTGTGACCAGTACCTCATGTTCCTGATGGTGGGTACCATGTGACCAGTACCTCATGTTCCTGATAGTGGGTACCATGTGACCAGTACCTCATGTTCCTGATGGCGGGTACTGTGTGACCAGTACCTCATTTTCCTGATGGTGGGTACCATGTGACCAGTACCTCATGTCCCTGATGGTGGGTACTGTGTGACTAGTACCTCATGTCCCTGATGGTGGGTACTGTGTGACCAGTACCTCACGTTCCTGATGGTGGGTACTGTGTGACCAGTACCTCACGTTCCTGATGTTGGGTACTGTGTGACCAGTACCTCACGTTCCCGTTGCTGTGACTTCCCTGCCGTAATGGACTGCACCTTCAGACTGTGAGCCCACACAAACCCTTCTCCCTCAAGTCGTTTCGGCCAGATGTGTTGTCATTGGAACAAGAAAAGTAAATAATAAAGACCCTCATCTTATCTGTAATGAGTTGATGAACCTTCCCGCATTCCACCCACCCCCACCCCCACCCCCGCTCCCAACACCTGTCCCGCTGCCTTCTGCCTCCTCAGGGCTCTCTCGGTGGCTGTCATGTACATTGTAGATCCTCCATAAACATACAATAAATAAACTGAAGTTTTGGTAAGTGAAGAAAGATGTTAGGTCCACATCGTCTCTGAGATCTCTCTGACTCAGAGGGAAGGCCATGTAAGTACTGGACAAAGGCCCAAGCTCCTCAGCTAAGTAAGCGTCATTCTGTACTTCCCTCTGGCCCCCTTTCTCACCCTGGGCTGGATTTGGTAGGTCCAGGTGGACATGGCATGACATGGCCAGGAGCCTAGAGACTGAAATACTTTTATACAAGTCTGTTTTCTGGAATGGGGAAGTCATGCTGTCTGTAATATCCTGTAGGAGACATGGCTTTCTTCCCCTCTCCTCTCAGTCCAATCATTAATAAGCTGCCCTGAGCTGTGGTTATTTAAAGTTCATCCAAGTCTCCCTGGGGTACAGAAGAACTATGTGAACCACTTCCTAGGGTTCATAAGGAAAGGTGGTACGCCACAGGCCAACTCTGTAAGTCCAGGGTGCCTTCGTGGAAAGGGCATCTCCACACCTACACATCTAAGCCCCCTGCTGACCGAACCCCAAATCCAAATTGCATTGCAAAGCAACCCTCAGCGTGCAAACAATGCTTTCCAGTCTGCAGAGAATAATGTCCGTCCAAAGCAAAAGAGAAAGATGGTTTTGGCACGAGTCTTCCTTGGTCTCCCTGGCTGAACACAGCCTGGAAGGTCACCGCTGAGGTCAGAGTATATTTAGCTAGCAGCAGTTAAACTAAAGTTTTAAGTAAAAAAAATAAAAATAGCCGGGCGGTGGTGGCACACGCCTTTAATCCCAGCACTCGGGAGGCAGAGCCAGGCGGATCTCTGTGAGTTCGAGGCCAGCCTGGGCTACCAAGTGAGTTCCAGGAAAAGGCGCAAAGCTACACAGAGAAACCCTGTCTCGAAAAACCAAAAAAAAAAATAAAATAAAATAAAATAAAAAAAAAATAAAAAAAAAAAATAAATAAAAATAAAAATAAAAGTAAAGTCAAGTGGCTTGACTAATCGTCTTCACAGACAGCAAGAAAAGGAGTAGGAGAGGAAACTGATCAAGGGCCAGCAAAGAAAATATCAAACACCCCATCCCATGACGTGAGAGCCAGCAGGAGAGGGACGGCGGTAGCAGAGGAAGAAACTGAGTCAGGGAGTGTGGGCAAAGGGAGCGGGGTTGGAGGGGGGGCCAGCCCTCAGGGCTGGGCAAGGTCTACACAGCCCAATTCCCAGCAGATGTCTGGAAAGGAAGTCTGGCTGTCCCCGGGTCACCATCACACACACACAGCAATGACTACCCAGATACTGAGTCGGGCACCCACCAGACACTGTCATGGGCCCATCCCACACAGACCCTTCCTGATTCTCTGTTCATAAGCACCAGGAGCTCCAAAGTGACACTCACCTCCAAGGCCTAGAGCCACCACTCACCTTCCAGAAAGGTGACTCCTCTGCAGCTACTCTCTCTGACCAAGACTATAAAGTCTTAAGTACCTATCCCTTACAACCAAATCCCCAAACAGAACACACTGACTTTACCATCTCTAACAAAATGTGAATGTCCCAGAGGACACCTGTGATTGGATTTGCTCACAGACTGTATCCTTCCCAGATCTACAATCTCCCCAGCCCCTTCATGCCATGCCCACCATGCCACACCCATCATGCCCCTGTGAATTAACACCCACTGCTCCCTCTGCCGTGATGACTTTCCTAGTGGGCACTTTCTCAACCTTCGTCTCCTCTGTTCTGTGACACTTTCTCCAACCTTCCTACCCAGCCTTTCCTCCTTGGTTCTAGCCATTTCCGCACGGTACCATCGCAGGAACTTACTTCTTTTATTTGTCTATGTGTGTGCATATGCATGCGTGCATTCATGCAAATGTACAAGTCGGGGTGCACACTTGTGTGCGTGTGTGTGTGTGTGTGTGTGTGTGTGTGTGTGTGTGTGTGTGTGTGAGATTCTTCCTCAAACCTCCAAATAACCTTGTTTTCTGAGACAGGGTCTCTCACTGACCTGGAGCTTGACTATCAGACTAGAGTGGCCAGCTAACAAGCTGCAGGGATCCTTCTGTCCCCAACACCAGCCCCAGCCCCCGTCTTATCCTCCGTGTGAGGATTACAAGCACATGCCGCCATGCCCAGCCTTTCACATAGGTACTGGGGATTGAATTCAGATCCCTATCCTTGCATGGCGAGCATTTTACCAACTGACCCACCTTCCCAACCCTCCCATCACAAGATCTTCTTGACATGAGTTGGAATGAAAGCTCTTCATGGGGGCAAAGCAGAGTCTTAGTCCTTGGAGACCCCAGGGTCACGCTCATTAAGTTCTTGGCAAACAGTTTGGTGGAATAAGTGAGCAGATGAAGAAGTGCACTGGCCTCCAGGGCCTTGGATTGTCCATGCAGCTCTGCAGCAACAATGACTTAATTACCAGGCTGCCTGCCTTAAAGGAGGTAGGAACCCAGATGATGTCTGACCTTTAAAACTGATCAAAGATGGGGCTAGAGAGAGAGAGAGAGAGAGAGAGAGAGAGAGAGAGAGAGAGAGCTCAGGAGTTAGGAACACTTGCTAGTGCACAGACATACGTGCAGGCAAAACACCCATACACATAAAATCAAAGTAAGTTTTCAGTTACTGAAGATCTGAGGATAATGAACATCATTCTGCAACGGAGTGGAATCTAATAGGAAGACAATGATAGCTTCGCCCAGAGAATCCTGCTGGAAACCAGCTGAAGACACATAACTACTGGGCCTGAACACTACGGGTCCGCTGAACCCCAGTGCTCTGCCAGCTCACTCTCTTCTCGGGTCATTTCCCCAGAGAATTCCTCCTCTACTTATCTACACTGTGGAAGGCATTAAGGTCTATGCCAGCCTCGGGGACCCTGACTACCCCTTCTCCCAAACAGCTGGTGATGTAAGCAGACAATGTAGTGTGGAGGACAG